TTTTTAGTTTTCAAATTTTTTTTTGATTTTTTTTTTAAATTTAAAAAAAAATTAAAGAAGACTCTCTAATCTACGTTTACCTCCACACACCTGTCTTTAATGAAGAAAAAGTTTGTCCCCGATGGCGAAAAAAAACTATTGAATATTTTGAATCTCTGTACCCTAAATAAACAAAATTTCAAAGATTCAAAATCGTAACTGATACTTTGCATACTTTTTTATGTATTTATTTTTTTATGTATTATAATGAAAAATTGCTTCATTACGATGTGCAGATCAGTTGAAATTACTAGTGCAATTTTTTTATACTTAGTAAATGTAAAAATAATAATAACAACATATTACATTACTATAATTCGATATAATTTTTGGGAACAAAATTAGATGATCAATATTGTAATTTTAAATCCGTATTGTCAACAAAAATAATAAGAGAGTATTTTCCCTAGAACACCGCAGATGTAAACATTAGATTATCCGAATTTTTTATCATTTCTTATTCTTATTAATAAACGCAACATTAGTTACTGCTTTTGCAATTTGTATTTGTATTGTGTTTCAAGCGAATCTGAACGATTTTTTAAAAAAGTTCGCCATTTTGGTTCCTACATTTTAAATAACTCAAGTAATTTTTGAAAATTTTGTCCGCTATATTGGATACGCCATTTGGTATTTTGAAAAAATAACATCGGATTCGTAAACAGCGACCCCAAAAACCCTTGAATGGAAAGTTTGAAGCAAATCCGTACTGTGGTATCGCTGGTGCACGAAAGGGTATATAAAGTGAATGGTTGACGCGTAAACACTTTAATGTTACAATGCGATACTACCTCAATATTGCCTGGCAATATTGCCTCAGACTAGCCGTGTAATATTTTCTCAATATTACAGCTCAATATTGCTTTAGACTTGCCAAGCAAGGTTGTTGTTATGCGAAACTATTCATTTTTGCACGAACCTTTCATGAATATTGCAATGTAATATCACTAAATATACCATACCACCATACCATACCACGTTCTTGGGCTCATTGGGATGGTATTTTGTTATACAATTTAAATTATTTTAAACAATTCATGTCCACATTCTTCCTTAGCGTATGCAAACCGTGAAAGTTGGCTCAAAAGCCCAAGAACGTTTAAAAATATTAATTTTTGCCAGAGAAATTAAAAAATAGTAAAAACTTTGAATATTGTATTTTTCCTAAATATCTAATTGAAAAATTAACATTTTCTCTTTGACAAAGTGTCATTTCCTTTAGAATTTTTTTAGCTTTTATAAAAAAAAGGAAAAAATTTTAGTTTTAATATTTTTGAAGATTAAATCTTTTTTATAGTCATCGAAAAAGCAGATGTTGCACAATCTCCTCCAATAGTGTAAATATTAATTTAAATGGAAATATTTACTTACTATTTATAAAAATAAATATGTGAAATTCACCTAAGATGGATTCTTTTTTCTCAAAAAGAAACCTTGATTTTTACGAGATTAATGTTTAAATTTTTTTTATTCTTAAATTTTTCTTAGTCGAAAACCAGAAAATTTTTTACATCCAAAAGTTCAAGTCTCCAATGGTTGAAAATTATTAACGTGTTTTTAACCAATATTTATGGACACTTTTTTATTTTATTTTATATACTTTATAAATTGGATTTAATTATAAAAAAAAATTTGATAGATTTACTTTAACTAAATTATGTCAATTGCATTTCTAATTCATGTATTGCAAGTCAGAAAGGCACAAAAAAACAATATTTATTATTATGAAGCGTGCGTAGCGCAGTGGTATATTATTAGGCTGTTAGTCCATAGGTCGTAGGTTCGATCCCCCTCATGCGTTAGATTTATTCATTTCACAGGTGTGCGTTTTCTAGAGTTTTTCTATGTATTAATTAGTTAAAAACTTGAAAAAATCTGTTCATAGCATCTTGTAATTACATTTTTTTTATTTTATGCATAACTTTTAATCTGTATCCGTCAGTACTACAGTTTGCAAAATAATCGTAATTCTTTTTAATCTGTCTGCACAAATCAAAAGTCGGAAAAACTATTTTCTTCAATTAATATTTTTTAAATTTCATTCAAGTTGAATTGTTTGAATTCCATATTTTCTTGGATTAAGAACATATGCTCTTCTCCCAAATATACTAAAGACAATCGTTTTCTTGAACCAATTTCAGAATTTACTCGTTTGTATTCAATCCCACGATTTACTTGAAGCAAGAAAAATTTTCGTGATTCAATAGTATTTTTTGCAGAGTATAAAAACCGCAAAATTTCTAGATGCTAACATATATTAAAAACCAACAATTTTTAAAATATATATCATTCAACACATTACATTCTTTTTAAATTTTTTTTAAACTGACTTCAAATTCGTAATCATCGACCTTAAACTTTACTGGGGGGTTTTTTGGGGTCACTAATTACGAATTCGATGTTAGTTTTTCAAAATGGCGGACAATATTTTAAAAAATTGCTTGGATTTGCTTAAAAATTAATACTCATGGGTTTTTAAGGTCGCTGATTACGAATCGGAAGTCAGAATTCCAAAATTCAAATCAGCGGATCCAATATAGCGGATGAATTATGACAAGAATATTGCTTTCTTTGAAAAAATATTAGATTTTCGTGGAAATGGGTATCTTGGGATTTTTTGGGTGGCTGATCAGCCATTTTTAATTTTTCAAAATTTTAAGAATCTTACTTTAGATTTGTTTTTGCAAATTTTGTTACTTTAGATCAGCGACCTCAAAAATCCTCAGAAACCCATTTTTTAAGAAAATACAATGATTTTTCAAAAAATCGTTCGCTATATTGGATCCGCTATTTTTAATATTCAAAATTTTAAAAATATGACTTTAGATTCGTAATCATCGACTCTAAAAAACCCCAAGAAGACCCATTTTTTAGGAAAAAACAATGATTTTTTAAAAAAAACGTCCGCTATACTGTATCTAACATTTGAATTTTTAAAAACTAACGTTGAATTCGTAATCAGCGACCCTGTAAATTTCAGTGTAGAGAGTTTCAAGCGAATCCAAAAAATAAAAAAAAGTCCACCATATTGGATCCGACATTTTGAATTATGAAAAACTAACATCGAATTCGTAATTTGTGATCCCGAAAACCCCTGGATACTAATTTTCAGGAAAAAAAATTTTCTATACATTTTGGGCACTTTTTGTCGAATTCCTTCTGCCAACGAAAGGGTTAATTTTTTATTACAGTTTATATGCACAGAGTCAGATAGGTGGCGCCACGTTCTATGTCTTTTAGCATTGGCTAATTTTGAACTGTTGCCAAAATAATGCCCAGGTTTTTACTGTCTGGCTGGGGTGCCCGACACCCCAGTATGGCAAATGTGTTACACCACAAAAGTGTGGGATGCAAGGATTAAAAATCCTCAAATAACAAGTTTCAAGTAAAATGATTCGCTTATTTAAAAATGTGTCAAAAATTTTGGATTTATTATTTGAAATTTTTTAAAATATATTTCAAATTCTTAATCAGAGACCCCAAAAACTCTTAGAAGTAAAAATATATTTAAATCCGATAATTTTTGAAAAATTTAGTCTGACATTTTGGATCCACCATTTAAAATATTTTAAACGAACTTCAATCACAGGCCCCAAAAACCTACAAAATCTTTTTGTTGTGAGATACGTTTTGAAATTTTCGTTTGAAGTAATTGCATTCCTTATTTATAGATGGCATACATTCCTATAAGGTTTTAAATTACTCCTTATTGTGTAGATAATGTGACCTATAGTGCTCCAATTACTTCTATTATCAGCTACTAAGTATATAATGATTCGATGAAAAAGTTATACTTTTTAACAACTTGAAGGGAAAGTTTCATCCCTTAAATCTTCTTCTTTGCCGATAAAAAAATATCAATTATTTTTCGGAGTTCTAAAATGTTTTAAAATTTGAGCAAAATCGGCTTATAACACTTGGGTAGGTGTACTTATTAAATAAAAGTGTCCGAGACAAATTATAAAAATTAGTGGGGGGAGTGGGGAGTTGTGCACCGGGTTTTGTTTTTCGATCAAAATTATTATACATTTTTTTTTACTATTCTATTATATAGAACTTTTAGTACACGTACAAATATAACTTTTGGCATGATCAATTAATTAAAATTTAAAACGGAAATAGTAATTTTGCTTGTGTTTCGAAAATACTAGTTTTATGACTTTTCAAAAAACGTGGGGAGTTGTGCTCCATCGTTGAAAATTGAAGAATATATTTTTTAGAATATTCTTTATTTAAATTATGAAATGTGAAAAAGTAAGACAATTTACATAAAAGAAATTAATAGCTAAGATAATAAAAGATTAATTTTAGATAATTTAGATAAAATTAAATTATTTTAAAAATAATTGAATTAAACTAGGTAACTAATTTCATTTGCAAAGAATACAGATGTAAAAAGTCTCATTTTACAAAAGAAAAATATTTAAATTGCCTAAAACATTCTAATTATTCATAAACAATGCGAAATAAAAATAGAGAGTGCGTATTAGAATTACAAACTGTTAAATATGATGTGAGGTACAACTCCCCTCTAACGCTGGAGCAGAACTCCACATTTTCTACATTTTCAAAATAGTCATAGAATAATTGATACATCGAATGTTTATGCGAATTTTTTTTGTACATTGAAATGACGAAAGTTAATGACAACTAATTTTTATGCATTAAACATTGTGATCACTTTGAAAAAATTAGTGGAAATGACCTAAACATAAAGAGTCAAAAAAACTTTTTGAAAAAAATTTTAACTCACTATCTGGAAAGAAACGAAAAATGCTTGAAAAGATGACGGGTATCACTTAAAAAGTTAGTTCTTAACGAGAAAAGAATATGCCAATAGTTGAAATTTGTCATATTAATTGCCATAATAAAAAAATGAACGTGGGGCACGACTCTCCATGAAGCACAACTCCCCACTCTCCCCTACATATCTAATATTTTAAAAAAAGTATTTTAATTACCGTATCTAATAGCTCGATTATTTTCGCAAAGAAATACCACCAAGCACCAGATGAAAGCTGCAAACAATAAATTGATTTTAAATATATGTATTAGGTACATAATTTATTTAACTACTTCACTGGTGGGACGTTCCATGGAACGTTATTTGGAACACCCCGCCTGTGAAGTGGTTAAAAGAATTTTTTATTCTATTAATTAATTTTATTGTTTAATTAGCTATCACTTAAAATAAAATACAGTTAATTCTTATTCTATTATATTTAATAAAAATATTTAAAAAAGACTTACTAGTGTCTGCATTTCCTTGTCTGGTTGAATTCTCTGGGTGTTACAACTATTGCTGAAGATGTATCGGAAGAAATTTAGATTAAGGGCCTGTCAAATAATCGATAATTATAAATACAATTCTTTAACTATCTTTGTCTAAAAAAAATTTTTTTCAATGTTTTTCTCACCGTAGATGCTAAATAAATGCTGAAAATGACTTGAAATCCATTATAAGCAATAATTAGTTTCTTCAATTCAAAAGCTGGCCTTTTTTCCATCATCTTTGGACCAATTTTCAAGACAAATATAAGATAAACTCCCAAAATCAGTATCAACGGTCCAGGCGATCCCATAAGAAGCCATGAATCCACCATGGGATCTTTAAAAAACAATTTTTATAATTTAATTGTATTATTAAAAAAAACAAAGAAGTTCAGTAATGTCAAATTGAGTTTAAATATTAAAAATTGAGGGCATTAGTAAATGATTCATTCATTTTTGTGAAATTCGAGTTCCACTTCCTACTATAGAATTTATTACACAATTAAAAGTGTTAATTTAAGTTTTACCAAACCTGAAGGTTACTACTTTCTCAAATTCTATAGGTTTTCTAATTTGCATAGTACTTTCTTATGCATACATAGATTTTATATTTTATCTTATAAAATATATATTTCCGTTATGGCGTTTCATATTTATATATTATATATATTCTACGATTAATGATTATTGGAATTTAATTTTCAATACATCGATTACGCTTCAGTTTTTAATGTGTAATTTACTATGATGATTAGTAAGAAGAGGTTTTTTGACTTTTGAGTTTCCCATTTCATATAAATATATTAATATATTAATAATTAACATATTATTATTTTAAGTTTACAATGAAAACTCACATGATCTTGTAAAAATTTTGCCCTGGTCATAACAGAGGCCGGATATGGCACGTCTAATTGACAAATTTCATTAAGTTTCAAATCATAAATTATTGTACCTTCGACAATTATTAAGAAATATTGAGGTTTGGTGTACACACGCCGTTGGTTGTACTAAAGACGACAATATAGTAAAAAACAAACAAAAAATCTGCAGGGAACTTTACAAATAAGATAACTTCCCGTGAGTTAACTAAAAGACAAATTGAAATCTTATATTAATAATGAAAATATTAAAATAGTAGGTTATTAATAATTCACTGTAATGAATTAAATAATAATATTAATAAATTTTAGCTTAAAAAATAAATAGAAAGTAAGTTTTATAATTATTCCTATCTACATTTTATGAGCTTTTTCAAAATTTCATTGTATTTAAATAGTTATTTTATTTATAGAAAAGTATTTGGATTTTTCGGAGAATGGAAACCCGAGTAACGGTAAGAGGAAAAAATATGACATGTTAATACACTAACAAGAAATGTCAATTTTCATTTCGTGCCGATAAATGTTGGAATCAGGTGATACCTTCATATTCATATAGTAAAGTATACTAAATGAGGACACGGGGAAAAGTCATTATAAAATAGTCGTTCATCTTGGCTTACTTTTAAATTATTTTGTAAAAAAATCTTCAAATATTCTGCGCCTATCATACAAATTGTACGTTTTAACACTTATACTAAAAGTATTAATTTAAAATTTCTAATACACTTTTTCATTCATTTTTTTCAATTTAAAAAATGTTATATATATTAATTATTGTTACACCACACAGTACGATATATCTTCCTATGAAATTTCAAGGAAGATATCGTGCTGTGTGGGGTTATTAAAAATGTTTTACAACTAAGTAATAATTAAATCATTAATTAACTTTAATTTAGAAGAATTATATAAATTTTAATTAAATCTTATAATATTTACTAAATTATTGTTCTGTAATAGTGAATTACAACATTAATATTCTTAACACCTAAAGTTAATTACATAATAATTAAAGAACATATTCACGTCCGGAAATTAATTTAAATTATGTTAAAAAGAAATCTAGCTTCTGAATGGAATGCAGTTTTTTGATATACTAGTAAAAAAATATTAGTATTATTAAGTAAAAAAATTTAATAGGCTTAATAGGGTATTTTTGATAACTCACCTTTGTTTTTTTCAAGTATTTCATTATAATTGCTAACGACCAGTCCTATTAAGTTCGCCATTTTATTGTAACTATAATAAAATTAAATTTTAATTTAAATAGTTTTTTTGAATACGATTACAGTAATAAAAGATTCTTCCTTTGATTACAAAAAATTCCGTTATTTAAAAGTTAATCATTTTAATTTTAAATTTCTTTCATAGATTGTCATGCAAATAAAATATAATATTCTTGTTTACAAATCATTAAAATTGAAGTAAAGAAATAAAGTTTAGTTTAACTGAAAATGTAATCCAAATACAAATTCAATTAACAATTAAAAATCTACAAAAATAAGATTTAAAAATTTATTTTTAATTAAAAATAAAATATAATAGTTAAGATAATAAATACTTTTTGAAAGTGTTTAAGAAAAATAATTTCATTGTATAAATTACACACTTTTTAAATTACTTTTTTGGACACTTTTCTTCAATCTATAAAAATGTCGTGTTTTCATGAAAAGGGAGTCAATAAAAAATAATCGAAGTGAAAAATCACATCGATAAACGGTTTTCAATAAATTTAAAACTTTATAAAACACTGAAAAATTTGTTTATTGAAAGGGAAGAAAAATTAATATTCAATCCCGACCATTTAAAATGGTCCAGAATGGAATTCGAAGCGAGATGCCTGAACGCGAACGAAAAACTAAAAGATTCGATGAAAGTCCAGTCCAAGCGAAGCTAACACGTGGTTCCAGTGTACGTTGGACACCCCACCATAAATTCACCTGACCTCATCTCGATTCTCTTTCTCTATATTTTTTTAATCAATTTTCGTTAGATTTTTTAAAAATTCTTAAAAAGGATTATATGGAGAAGTATTTATGTTGACAAATTTCTTGGTAAATTAAAAAAATTTTAGGGATCTTACAGCTCTTTAAATGTGAAAGCCATGTCGTTAGAGAACTTTAAAGTTAATAATGTCGAAAACCACATTTTTTGGGAGAATTTTTCCCGTAATTTGAAAATTTCGATTATCTCAAAAATTGAAACCAACAAATTGGTCTCTTTTTAAATATAATAATGGTTATGCAATATTATTAATTAAAACTACAAACAATTCATTTCATGCAAATTACGAATTAGATCCATTAAAAGTATAAAAAATACATTTTTTACGGATGCTTTTATTGCAACTGCAATTGACCTTGATGTTTAAAATGCGATTTATATTATTCAACCATGTTTCATTGCTATTATAAAAAGTGCAAATTATTTAATTTATAATTAATAGTCCATGCAAAACACTCAAATAATTTTTTTGTGACCTTGAGATGAAATTTAAGTAACACTTTAAGAGTAGTAAACTATGGAAGAAGAGAAAGTAAATAATAATGGGGCCATCTCTAACGGGGATTAGATTTAAGTATTTTTTGACGAAAATTTTAAGTTATCCTTAACAGAATGAAAAAAATTCAACTTTTATTAATTTCTATTAAATCTATGATGATCTGTTTTAATGCCAATTAAATAAACTTGAGAAAACAATTCAAGCATTGTATTTTTTAATTATTTAGGATAACTGTTTTAATAAAAAATTATTGTACATTATGTTTAAAAATTAATTACGTTTTAATAATTTTATTATTTAACAGTTAATAAACTATTAACATTATTATATTTTAAAAATTGTATTTTATTGAATAGAGACTCTCAATTTAAAATTTAGTATTTACCTTCTTGAATTTTTGGAAACTGACTATAGATTCATAAACAACATCAAAAACTCCAAAAATTGTCAATTTTATAAGTTTTAATGATAATTATTATTTAATTAATTTAATAATGAATTTATCACTTGGTCTAATGAATAGTAAGGAAAAAAAATTTATCAATCCATCCAAGTCAAGTGGTCAATAAAATAAAAGAAATTATTTTTGATAATTATTATTATTATTATTTTTTACATATAATAATTTTTATTTTTACATATAACATTTTTATTTTGGGGCGGTTCAAATACTACACAATTAAATTCTACATCGTTAAAACCCTACACGTCAAACTCTACACAGTTAAATTGCACACCGTTAAACCTTATACAATTTATTTTTTAAATTCTACACACTTAATGTGTACAATGTTAAACTCTACACAAATTTATTTTGTAGTGAAAAATTAATTTCTTTAAATTCAACACGGTTAAATACCACAACGTTAAACTTTACATATATTTCTTTTGTAATAAAAAATTAATTTTCTTAAATTTAACACAGTTAAATTCCACATCGTTAAATTCTACACATATTTATTTTGTAATGAAAAATTAATTGCATAAAGTTCTACACAGTTAAATTGTTCACCGTTAAACTCTCCATAAATTTATTTTGTATTATAAAATAAATTTTGTTTAACTCTACACAGTTAAGTTGCATATTGTTAAACTCTACAAAAACTAATATTATAACATAAAATTAATTTTAATAAATTCTACACCTTTAAATTGCACACCGCCAAACTCTTCACATAATGATTATATAATAGAAAATAAAAATGATTAAATTCTACACAGTTAAATTGCTCACTGTTAAATACTAAACAATTTATTTTTTAAATTCTGCACAATTAAATTCCACATCGTTAAATTCTACACAGATTTATTTTATAATGAAAAATTAATTGCATAAAATTCTACACAGTTAAATTGTTCACCGTTAAACTCTCCATAAATTTATTTTGTATTATAAAATAAAATTTGTTTAACTCTACACAGTTAAATTAAACACACTTAAACTCTACACACACTAATCTTATAATATAAAATTAATTTTATTAAATTCTACACAATTAAATTACACACCGTTAAACTCTTCACAAAATTTAATTTAAAAAAAATAAAAATTTATTAAACTGTACCCCGTTAAATTGCACATTGCAAAACTCTAAACGATTTAGTTTTTAAATTCTACACAATTAAATGCTACAATGTAAAATTCTACACAAATATATTTCGCAATTAAAAATTAATTTCGTTAAATTCTACATAGTTAATTTCCACACTGTTAAACCATACACAAATTATTTTTTAATTGTACACAATTAAATTGTACAATGTTAAACTCTACGCAAATTTATTTCATAACAAAAAATAAGTTTTGTTTAATTCTGCACAGTTAAATTGCACACCGTTAAACCATATACAATGTATTTTTTAAATTCTATACATTTCAATTGTACAATGTTAAACTCTGCACCAATTTATTCTTTAGTGAAAAATTAATTTTGTTAAATTCTACTCTGTTTAACTCTAAACTGTTAAATTCTACACAAATTTATTTTGTAAATGAAAAATTAATTTTGTTGAATTCTACACAGATAAATTCCACACCGTTAAACTCTTTACAAAATTTAATTTTAAAAAAATATAAAATTTATTGAACTCTACACAGCTAAATTGCACATTGTTAAACTCTAAACAATTTAGTTTTTAAATTCTACATAATTAAATGCTACAATGTAAAATTCTACACAAATTTATTTCGCAATTAAAAATTAATTTTGTTAAATTCTACATAGTTAATATCCACGCAACGTTAAACATCAGACAAATTATTTCTTAAATTGTACACAATTAAATTGTACAATGTTAAACTCTACGCAAATTTATTTTTTAAAAAAAAAATATGGCGGACGACTTTTTTGAAAATAGATCCAATTTTCTTGAAAATTGTTACTCGGGGGTTTTTGGGGTCGCTGATTACGAATCTGATATCAGATTTTCAATATTTAAAATGGCGGATCCAATATGGCGGATGATTATTTAAAAATTTGGTTGCATTTTCTTGCAACCTGATTATTGGGAGGTTTTCGGGGTTGCTGATTACGAATCAAATGTTAGTTTTTCAAAATTCGAAATGGTGGATCCAATATGGCGGCCGAATTTCTTGAAAATCGATCCAATTTGCCTGAAAATTGTTACTCAAGGGTTTTCGGGGTCGCTGATTACGAATCCGATGTCAGATTTTTCGAATCTTCAAAATTCAAAATGACGGATGTTTATTTAAAAATATGGAAAAAACACAAATCTCAACAAGCGGACTACATCTTTTAGCATTCTAGAAAGATATTTTTTCTAATCAGCGACCCCAAAAACCCCCGAGTAACAATTTTCAAGAAAATTGGATCTATTTTCAAAAAAGTCGTCCGCCATATTTTTTTTTTAAAAAATAAATTTGCGTAGAGTTTAACATTGTACAATTTAATTGTGTACAATTTAAGAAATAATTTGTCTGATGTTTAACGTTGCGTGGATATTAACTATGTAGAATTTAACAAAATTAATTTTTAATTGCGAAATAAATTTGTGTAGAATTTTACATTGTAGCATTTAATTATGTAGAATTTAAAAACTAAATTGTTTAGAGTTTAACAATGTGCAATTTAGCTGTGTAGAGTTCAATAAATTTTATATTTTTTTAAAATTAAATTTTGTAAAGAGTTTAACGGTGTAGAATTTAACAGTTTAGAGTTAAACAGAGTAGAATTTAACAAAATTAATTTTTCACTAAAGAATAAATTGGTGCAGAGTTTAACATTGTACAATTGAAATGTATAGAATTTAAAAAATACATTGTATATGGTTTAACGGTGTGCAATTTAACTGTGCAGAATTAAACAAAACTTATTTTTTGTTATGAAATAAATTTGCGTAGAGTTTAACATTGTACAATTTAATTGTGTACAATTAAAAAATAATTTGTGTATGGTTTAACAGTGTGGAAATTAACTATGTAGAATTTAACGAAATTAATTTTTAATTGCGAAATATATTTGTGTAGAATTTTACATTGTAGCATTTAATTGTGTAGAATTTAAAAACTAAATCGTTTAGAGTTTTGCAATGTGCAATTTAACGGGGTACAGTTTAATAAATTTTTATTTTTTTTAAATTAAATTTTGTGAAGAGTTTAACGGTGTGTAATTTAATTGTGTAGAATTTAATACAATTAATTTTATATTTTAAGATTAGTGTGTGTAGAGTTTAACGGTGAACAATTTAACTGTGTAGAACTTTATGCAATTAATTTTTCATTACAAAATAAATATGTGTAGAAATTAACGATGTGGAATTTAACTGTGTTAAATTTAAGAAAATTAATTTTTTATTACAAAAGAAATATATGTAAAGTTTAACGTTGTGGTATTTAACCGTGTTGAATTTAAAGAAATTAATTTTTCACTACAAAATAAATTTGTGTAGAGTTTAACATTGTACACATTAAGTGTGTAGAATTTAAAAAATAAATTGTATAAGGTTTAACGGTGTGCAATTTAACTGTGTAGAGTTTGACGTGTAGGGTTTTAACGATGTAGAATTTAATTGTGTAGTATTTGAACCGCCCCTTTTATTTTTATTTACATATAATAATCTCCGTATTCATTCATTCATTCCGTCTGTCCGCACTTGAAGTTAGTCGTTTTTCTGTTCCTTTTCTTTTTCTAAAATTTTGACAATTCTTGATTTCGTAATATGTTATGGTTAACGCGACGAATATATTTTTTTTATGTAAAAATAAATTATTTGTTTTCAAAAATTTTTCAATTTGCTTCCAATTTTCAATTTAAGTTAAAAGTTCATAACATTACAAAACTTTTTTTTGTTTTATATTTTTCAAAAATTTTAAATATTTTTTAATTTATTAA